TCTATTCTATTCTATTCTATTCTATTCTATTCTATTCTATTCTATTCCTATTCCTATTCCTATTCCTATTCCTATTCCTATTCCTAATTCTACTCTACTCTACTCTACTCTACTCTACTCTACTCTATTTCTAAACATACCCAATTCCAGCACCGTTCTTTATATGTTTTAGCTTTCTGTTGCTCTTCTCTGCACTCCTTTTAGAGGAATACATTTCTAAGTAAAAAAAATAACTAGCTATGTCTGAAGAGACACTCAGCTCAAAGACGTCCCGCTTCTTCACCGTTGAGTAATCCAATTGACCTGCACAGAACCATCTGTTCCAAAGCAACTGGTTTCTGGATGAGATACTTCCATCCAAACCCAGAGGTGATCCCATCGAGCTGAAGGCCAGAGGGGCTTCTTCCCTTCGTTGTCCGTTCTTAGCAACGAATCTTCAAAAAGGGGGAACGACCTCCGATGCCCTACCTTTCCTAATTAGCAGAGGTGCGTCTTCACCGCAGAGAAGAAGGAGCTTTCAAATGCCTCTGAATCATATCCGTTTTACTCAATAACCTTGGGGTTGGAGGTGTTTTCCATCTCTTTCCATCCTTACCGCTCTATCAGGTTACCTGACTTAAACCCAGCCGTCCTCCGAGGTCAGGCTGAGTGTTTCCCAATGCTTTTTATGACGCTTCGCTGGGAGGTTGGCCCTCCGAGCTGGAAAAACACCTGTTCCTGAAAAATCCACATTATAGCCCGGGGTTGTTCTTTGCCTTCAACACATGCCTTAAAAACTGCTAGAATGTGTTGGTGTACATAGCAGCAACCTTAAAACGCTTCTAATAGCCGGAGAGGTTAATCTGCTGGGTTGCAGTGATCTGCCCAAGATTGATGGGATTAACACCTATGTTGCTGACAGCCAGGTATGAGATAGATGAAGAGGAGAGGGAGGGGTGTGTGTGTGTGTGTGGCGGGGGGTGCTTTATGCGCCATCATGTCCCAAGGACACATGTCTTCCTTGGTGAAGCATTCCTATGGCTGCTGACATTTAGCGCTTCCCCCAGAAATATGAGATACAGCTAGTCCTCAATTTACGGCCACCATGGAGCCCAAAAGTTCTTGTTGCCAAGCCAAATATTTGTTTTGCCCCATTTTACGACCTTCCTTTCCACCGTCGTTTATTTATTTATTTATTTATTTATTTATTTATTGAATTTCTATACCGCCCTTTTCCCGAAGGACTCAGGGCGATGAACAGAATAAGATTTCATATACATATAATTATTTTTTTTTAAACAGTAAATAATAAATTGAGTCAACTTGGTGTATCTGCTAAGACCTTGGCATAGAATTTAGATGTTTATGCTAGCCCTGCTTGTTGAAACAGAAAGGTCTTCAGGGCACGTCGGAAAGTGCGAAGATCTGGGATTATTCGTATTCCAGGGGGGTATTTTGTTCCAAAGAGTAGGTGCCCCCACAGAGAAGGCTCTCTCCCTTGGAACTACTAGGCGACATTGTTTTAATGATGGTACTATGAGTAGGCCTACTCTGTGAGAGTGTATTGGTTGGTGGGAGGTTATCGGTTGCAGCAGGTGGTCTCGTAAGTACTCAGGTCCTAAGCCATGGAGCACTTTAAAGGTAAGAACCAACACCTTGAAGTGCACTCGGAAGGCCACCGGAAGCCAGTGCAGCTCGCGTAGGAGAGGTGTTACATGTGAGCGCCATGTTGCTCCCATAATTACTCGTGCGGCCGCATTCTGGACCAGTTGGAGCTTCCGGGTGCAAATCACTGCCGTGATTTAAGTTAGTAACCCGGGTCTTAAGCGAATCTGGCTTTGCCAAGGTCACAGAAGGCAGGGAGGGATACGGCAACCGTCATCAAGATGAACCACAGTTGCCAAGCTTCTGAATTTTGATCGCGGGGCCGTGGGGACGCTGCAACGGTCGTAAGTGTGAAAAAACGGTCGTAAGTCACTTCTTCCAGCCCCGTTGTCACTTTGAACAGTCTCTAAACGAGGACTACCTGTCCTAATTTAACAATTGCAAGGGGTTGACCTAAGAACGGTGGCACCTTGCAAAATTATAAAATGACAATGTCAACTGTGCACTGCCCTGAGTCCACTAGGAGAAGGGCGGTATATAAATTGAATAAAATAAATAAATAAAATAAACTGCATATAAAGAAAATTTGTACAAGATGTTCTACAGGTGGCATTTACCCCCGACGAGAATAGCCAGAATGTTCAAGAATAAATCTGAAAAATGTTGGAAATGTCATCAGATACCGGGTTCATATTACTATATGTGGTGGACATGTGCAAAAGATACTGGACTAAAATCCACACATGGTCAGAAAAAAAATGACAAAAAAACACATAGATTTTAAACCAGAGATTTTTTTAAATTGGGGATTATACCTGAAATATATAATAGAGAATTGAGATACCTGATTGTGAATGTATTAACGGCAGCTAGAATTCTGTTTGTTAAAAATTGGAAAAATGAGAAAATATCAACGCAAGAGGAAGCCATTAAGAAAATCATGGAATGTGCTGAAATGAGTAAATTGACATTTGAAATTAGAGAACAAGAAGATAATATTATAAGATATGGGACTTATTTTATCAATGGTTAGATAAAAAGAATATGGAAATGAAAGACGATAGAGATTTTTATAATACAAGAATTCTAGAATTACATAAAATATAAAGAAGTATTACTATTAGACCGATTTGGTGATGAAATGAATGTTTATAATATCAATTAATTCAAATCTTAGAATATTTTGTACAAAATGAGGGGAAAAATAGCGATGGTCAAATAAACAATCAGTGAGGATAATAATACATAGATATATATTAGATCGATAATGTAAGAATTTAGGTAAACTGCAAGCTATGAACATGGTGAAGATGCACAAAAGATTTGTAACCAAGCGACACCCTGTGTATAATTGAATTTTTTTAATATATTTATTTATTTATTTATTTTAATTTGATTTATATGCCGCCCTTCTCCGGAGACTCAGGGCGGCTTACAATGCGCTCAGCAATAGCCTTCATCCTTTTGTATATTTATACAAAGTCAGCTTATTGCCCCCACAAACTGGGTCCTCAATTTACCTACCTTAAAAAGGATGGAAGGCTGAGTCAACCTTGAGCCTGGTGAGATTCGAACCTGCAGTAATTGCAGGCAGCTGTGTTAATAATTTGAAGATGGTTTTATGTTTGGATGTGCCATCCTATTTAGACAGGTGCATGCACGTAAGGTGCGCGCACCAGCAAAATGCATGCACGAAAGGCCAGGCATATGCATGGACGCACACGCGCTCACATTTGCGAACCGGTAAGGAAAGTAAGTGAATTCCACCCCTGCTGTCCTCAACGTTCTTTCTCATCTTGACATTCCAGATCCTTGACGAATGGTTCGGGCGGACCGTGATCCAATCCTGCGCGAAGCTCAGCTACGACCACGCTCAGAGCATGATTGAGAATCCGGAAAGGGTCTTTGGGGCAGAGGAGCTGCCCCCCATCTCCTCCTGCCACACCGTGGCTGAGGTCCACCAAGCCATCCAGAACCTCCACCGGATCGCCAAGCAGCTGCGTCAACAGCGCTTCGCGGACGGGGCTCTTCGCTTGGACCAGGTGAGGATTGTGGCTTAATTCAGATTCCAATTAATAAAAATTGATAATATGGTTCTGGAAAATCACACCTGCAGAAAAGTGAAGCCGGGCTAGATATGTTTGAAGGCACCATGGGTGTCATTCACTCTTGAAGTAAGGCAGTGTTTCTCAACCATGGCTACTTTAAGACAGGTGGACTTCAACTCCCAGAATTCCCCAGCCAGCTTTGCTATGCTGGGGAATTCTGGGAGTTGAAGTCCACCCGTCTTAAAGTGGCCACGGTTGAGAAACACCGAGATGGATTGAGTTCAGGTTGACTTCAAGGTTGAGAGACACCTGGATGGATGAACTTCAACTCCCAGAATTCCCCAGCCAGCTTTGCTATGCTGGGGAATTCTGGGAGTTGAAGTCCATCCGTCTTAAAGTGGCCACGGTTGAGAAACACAGAATTAATCTAAGGCAGAGGTCTTCAAACTTGGCAGCTTTAAGACTTGTGGACTTCCAACTCCCAGAATTCTCCAGCCAGCATAGCATAGTTGGCTGGAGAATTTTGGGAGTTGAAGTCCACAAGTCTTAAAGCTGCCAAGTTTGAAAACCTCTGGTCTAAGGGGACTTAGACATGGCACTAAGAGATTCCTATCTATTTACTACCAATGCTCAGAATAGCAAGAGTTGGAAGGAACCTTAGAGGTCTTCTAGTCCAACCCCGTGCTGAAGCAGGAGAATCTGTACCATTTCAGACAAATGGTTGTCCAATTTCTTCTTAAAAGCCTCCAGTGGTGGAGCACTCACCACTGCAGGCAAGCTGTTGCATGGTTAATTATTCTCACTGTCAGGAAGTTGCTCCTTAGTTCTAGGTTGCTTCTCTCCTTGGTTAGTTTCCACCCATTGCTTCTTGTCCTGCTCTCGGGTGCTTTGGAGGATAGTTTGACTCCCTCTTCTTTGTGGCAGCCCCTGAATAAGAATAGAATAAGAATCAAAGAACAGAATAAGAATCAAAGAATAGAATAGAATAAGAATAAGAATCAAAGAATAGAATAAGAATAAAAGAATGGAATGGAATGGAATGGAATGGAATGGAATGGAATGGAATGGAATAAGAGAGTTGGAAGGGACCCTGGAGGTCTTCTAGTCCAACCCCCTGCCCAGGTAGGAAACCCTACACCACTTCAGACAAATGGTTATCCAACATCTTCTTAAAAACTTCCAGTGTTGGAGCATTTACAACTTCTGGTAGGAAGCAGTTCCACTGGTTAATTGTTCTCACTGTCAGGAAGTTTCTCCTTAGTTCTAAGTTGCCTCTCTCCTTGATTAGTTTCCACCCATTGCTTCCTGTCCTACTCTTAGGTGCTTTGGAGGATAGCTTGACTCCCTCTTCTTTGTGACAGCCCCTGAGATATTGGAAGACTGCTATCATGTCACTCCTGGTCCTTCTCTTCACTAGACTAGACAAACCCAATTCCTGCAACTCTTCTTCCTATGTTTTACCCTCTCCAGTCCCCTAATCATCTTTGTTGCTCTTCTCTGCACTTTTTCTAGAGTCTCAACATCTTTTTTACATCGTGGCGACCAAAACTGGATGCAATATTCCAAGTGTGGCCTCACCAAGGCCTTATAAAGTGGTATTAACACTTCACGTGATCTTGATTCTATCCCTCTGTTGATGCAGCCCAGAACTGTGTTGGAGTTTTTGGCTGCAGTAGCACAGATAGAGACGCTGTGTGGGAAAACGGCCTAATTGCCAAGCCTCGATTTTTTCCCCCTTTTGTGTCCCGTCTTCATTCCAACCTTGGTTGTTTTTTTTTTTTTTTTTTCCCTAAAGCATTACTCCGGGCTGTTTTTTGTTTTTGTAGGGGGAAGGGTCTCGTGATGGGGTGTTTTGTGGGGGTCTTGCGATTTGACGGATGAAATCCTTGCGAAGCTGCCGGCCGTGTGAAAAAAACGGAGTCGGCTTTTGAAAAGAGAGCGATCTGTCAGATTGGCAAGCAGAGCTAACTGCCGTCATTAATCTTGATGGGTGTTGTTTTGTTGTTGTGACGAGGTTGGGCGACCGTCTTAAAGGAGGCCGCCGATCCCATTTTTGCTGTCTGGGAGCGTCGCGATGCCCCATTTTTCATCTGGCGAGGAAGCGGTTCCTGGGGTCCGCAAGCCCCTTTGAGAATATCGGAGAGAGGAATAAAATGTACCGGCGGTCCTCGACGTACAACAGTTCACTTAGTGACCGAAGTTACAACGGCACTGAGAAAAAGTGGCTTAGGACCATTGTTCCACACTTACGACCATTGCGATCACATGATCGAAATTCAGAAAATGCTTGGCAAACCGACTCGCGTTTGTGCCTGATCAAAATTCAAGTTTCAACAAAATGCTTGGCAACTGACTCGAATTTATGACGGTTGCGGTGTCCTATGGTCCCTGGATCCCCTTTTGCAACCGTCTGACCAGTGGGGAAAACCAGATTTTTTTTAAAAAAAAAATTTGATTTATATGCCGCCCTTCTCCGGAGACTCAGGGCGGCTTACAATGCGTTAAGCAATAGCCTTCATCCTTTTGTATATTTATACAAAGTCAGCTTATTGCCCCCATAATCTGGGTCCTCAATTTACCTACCTTAGAAAGGATGGAAGGCTGAGTCAACCTTGAGCCTGGTGAGATTCGAACCTGCAGTAATTGCAGGCAGCTGGTCTTAATCACAATGCTTTCAGACTGCTGAGCCACCAGGCCCCTAAGATTCACTTAACAACCGGGTTACTAATTGAACAACCGCAGTGATTCACTTAACAAACATGGCAAGAAAAGTCATAAAACGGGGCAAAGCTCACTGAACAAATTTCTCACTTTAGCGACATAAATTTTGGGCTCAATTGCGGTTGTAAGTCGAGGACTACCTGTATTACTTTTGTCATTAATGGGCTTTCAAGGCTTAAGTTAAGTGCATACAGGCAGTCCTTGGTTTACGACCATAATAGAGCCCAAGATTTCTGTTGTTAAGCGAAACAGTTGTTAAGTGAGTTTTGCCCCATTTTACGATCTTTCCCGCCACAGTTGTTAAGTGAATCACTGCAGGTATCAAGTTAGCCGCACGGTTGTTAAGTGAATCTGGCTTCCCCGTTGATTTTGCTTCTCAGAAGGTCGCCAAAGGGGGATTGCGCAACCCCAGGACGCTGCAACCGTCATAAGCATGAATCACTTGCCAAGCGATTTTGATCATGTGACCCTGGGGATGCTACAACGGTCGTAAGCGTGAAAAACGGTCGTAAGATGTCTTTATCCATTCTCTTTTTTTCAGTGCCATGATATCTGTTGTGACCCAGGCCCAAGTAGGTATTATCAGACGCAATCAGTTCCAAAACAAACAGACTTTATTAGAACAGCTGAGAATTAACTCATTCTCAGCGTAGTCCAAACTAATTCAAAACAAACTCTTCATAGCACAATCCTTCAGCCTTATCACCAACCTTGGTCTAATTAGGCAACCTGCCAAAGGCTTTTCTTGGCAAAAGTTCAGGAGCAGAAGACACCGACAAGAAATAAATGCAGCAAGACAAGAAACAAATCTATCAACGTTGTTTTCCGGACAAAGAGCCCGAGAGCCGTTGCTGGTTCCCCAGAAGCCCGAGAGCCATTCCCCAGAAGGGAGGGGCCAATCATCTCTTGGCCTTACTCCTGAGTCGTCCTTTTTGCTTCAGCTGCTCCTGCCTTCTGGCAGCTCTTCTCATACGTGCACTAGGAGCAGGCTCCTCCTGTTCCTCTGCCTCTCTACTGTCAGCCTCTGGAGGCTCCGGAGTCCGCACATCACTCCCCGATGGCCCGGCCCCATCTCTGCCTCCGACGCAGAGCCCTCATCCGGGCCTTCCCCAGCCTCCAGGACTGGCCCATGGTCCTCCCCGGCCTCCTCACTGTCCGACTCCACAGGCTGCTGGCGGACCACAACGGTAGCTTCCAACGGTCATTAAATGGACAGTTGTAAGTCGAGAACTGCCCGGATGTATTTATCTTGACAATTTGCAGCTTTTCGTTGGGCTTCTGCCAGGGGATTTTAAGCACACCTTCAGATCCCTCCGCTTTGCAGTGTTTTAGTTGTTGATGGGAACACACAACATTTGCGTCTCTTTAATCCAAATAATTAAACATAGGGCTCGAACCATTCAGAGGCTTGGCTGAGGCGCTTGCTTTTGGAAGTAAATATTTTTACTGGCAGTTTCCTACCACAAGGACCCAAAACTGCAATTGTAAATATGTTACTTCACATGCTCGGTCCCTCCCAACTGTTGGTTATCCGATGGCCATTATTTGGCCAGGATAGTCTGCCAGTAAAAAGCCTTCTTCTACGAGAAGTGGATATTTGTAGCTCATAGTTGAACTGTATGGTCCTTGGTGCTTGGTGGTTTCCTTGCAGACGTTTCATGACCCAACTAGGTAACATCATCAGGACTGGAAGGGAGTGAGGTTTGTGGATTGGAGGAAAATTGTGGGGTCTTTAGTGCTCTCTGAGTTTGGTGGTTTCCTCCTTCCTCATGACCCAACTAGATAACATCATCAGGACTAGAAGGGAGTGGGGTTTGTGGAGTCAAGGAGGAGGAGGAGGATTGTTGGGTCCTTGTGTCTAGTTGTTCTGGGGTGCAGTGCTCTGTAGCGTCGTTTTGAGGGTAGGAGTTGAAGCAGTTTATGTCCAGGATGCGAGGACTCTGTAGATATTTTCCCAGCCCTCTTTTTGACTCGTGCAGCATACCGGTCCTCAATGGAAGGCAGGTTGGTAGCCATTGTTTTTTCTGCAGTTCTAACGATCCTCTGAAGTCTCTGTCTGTCTTGTTGGGTTGCAGAATCAAATCAGTCAGTGATAGAGGTGCAGATGACAGACTCCATAATTCCTCTGTAGCCGATTCCCCTCCTTGCTCACCTATCCCTGCACCAGTGTTGAATTCCAAATTTTTTTACTACTGTTCTGTGGTGTGACTTGGTGCACATGGCTTAGTGGACGTGGCAGGGGAAGGATACTGCAAAATCCCCATTCTCTCCCC